AATCATAACACACGTGAAAATTCATCTGAACAATGCCTACAAGAAGGTACCTTCAATCTAGATCAGATCATACATCTCAGAGGAGCTTTTAATCACAATGGGAGCAATTTGTCTATTGAGGAAAGGAACGGATTAATTTGAAATTCAGCTTGGTCCAGAGATAAAGAGAAAGTTGATCTGCGTTCAAGGTCAAAAATCAATGCAGATCAGGCTAAGTACAAAGAAAAACTGCTTTCGGTCCCAGCTGGCTGTGAAAAAAATATAGACATAGTCAAACCAAAGGCAATACAAGTTACAGTGCTGAGATTACATTTGCGAAGCTTAACTGTCCAGTGAGATCCAACAGTCTGCCTTTGCGACCCTGGAGCAGGCGTGGTTTGGGGACGCTGAAGAAGCCACAGGCAGCCGGCCTGGACTGGAATCACTGAAAAGACGCCCCTGGAGACCCCAGGGCGTAAAAGAAAGGAAGCAAGTTGGAGATTGCACAGCGCCTTCTCTGAACATTATACACAGACGTGGCCAGTCTGGACGTACGTGTGCGAGTATGAAAGTGTGCCTACTCTCAGCCGTAGTAAGTCTGAGAACCGGAGAGGGGTTTAGCATTCCTCTGTCCACCCTGGTTGACTGGGAAGGGTGTCAGGTGGATCTACCCCAGTCGTAGCAAGACTGGGCAATAGAGAAGTATGGAGAAAAGGGAAGAGTTGTGTACTTGATAACTAGAATTGAGCAATTAAGAGCACAGATCATGAACCAGGCAGCAACTCAAACCTACGCCCAGGGCAAGTTGCAAGCCTTGAGACAGGACTTCCAGGCAGAAAAGGAAGCACTGGCTAAGCAAGTACCGGTCCTTCAGGGACTTGTCAGAATTTAACCATTTGTGTTTCCATATGCTGTAACAGCAGTGTATTTGCCACAAGAGAAAATTGAATAGTTAAACGCCAATGGGCCATGTGTTTTGCCCAGGTGGCAAGCCTCACGAGGGAGGATTCGGGTAGCCTTGTGAGTAAGAATGTTTAAGGGAAGAGACCAGGAAGGGTGGGGGCTAGTTGAGAAGCCCACCCTCCTAGCTAAATTGGTAGTGGAACAAGCCGGTGCCCATGGAAGGGACGGTTCAGTGAGAAAAGCAGGATCGGGCCCAAGTGGGCAGGCAACAGATAGAGAGATTGGAAAACAGGTTGAAAACTTTGAGGGCATAATGGAAGGAAAGGAGTAAGTAATTATAAGCATGGGGATTTCAAATCCCCAGGACAATAATTGGAATGGTAAAAACTGAGTTGATTGGGTGTGGTTTGGGAGACAAGCAAGTGATTTAAGAAAAGAGAGGTTTCAGAGTAGCAGCCGTGTTAGTCTGTATCCGCAAAAAGAACAGGAGTACTTGTGGC